CAGCATTTAASAGAACATACATCTACTCCCCTARAGTCGRGGAGAAGTGAATTYCATCTTGTGAAGTTATGTTCCCAGTTTCCCACTCGGTCTCGTCCCCAAAATGGTAGGAATATTGTGTCGGCAACTCGGACCACTCTCACCCATACAGATCAAAGGATGAGCCCTCAAGGGCAGGAGTCCATAACTCACTCAGGATTGAGAATGAGTTGTTTGGTCATCCTATGAAATAGCAATATGTTAGTCAACGGHGTTACATCTAAAGATTGTCTATTTCGCAGTCCGGTCTTATACAAACTCATTGTATAGGATACCCCCACTCGCATGTCTCCACACGAACGACCTGGATCGAGTCGTCTGTAACATTTACAAAGTGGGTAGTATCCATAGTATTGCCAGAATAAGGTACCCAGCCTTATCCATATACTATAGACCCTTTAGGTTATTCACGAGATATTATACACTCGTATATCAGGGGTATATCAAATATACACCTAGTATATCAAATATATACCCAGTAAATATATTGTCCCGGTTACATGATAATAACCTTGGATGTTTAGTTTATTGGATTTTGGACAATGCAATGCTATGAATTCAACAACAACAAATTGATTGAGTAAAACTTTATTGAATATACATTTGGTTTTTACATAATTACAAACTACGAGTTTAGGGCAACACACCCAACAAGTAGCACTTCAACGACAACATCAGATCTTGAGCAATGGCGGCAGTAACAACAAATTCTGGCAACCTCCATCATTCCAGTGATTAGAAGAACCTATGTGAGAAAATGTGGGTTATGAAGTTTTTTTTTTTTTAAAGAAAGGGATAGAAGATTTCTTTTTAATTAAAAAAAATATTTTTTGTTTGTAATAAAAACCAAGGTTTTTAAATAAAATAAAAGGGAAAAAAAAAGAAAGGAAACCTTTTAAATAAGGTTAAAAATAAATAAATAAAAAAGTAAGGGTCGTGTTAAATCGTGAAGTTTTGTAATTAATTTGTATTTATTTTCTTCTTTTATGMCTTTTGTTTCTCCTGTAATGGCTGGACACGTGTCCCTAAACCCTAAACTCTATGAGCATGACGTCTTGTTCATTTCCCCTTTTTCAGATTAGGATCTTTCACAAATATAGAATGCTTCTTTTTCAGAACATTCCTCCCTTCTCTTTCTAGCCTCCTTATGGTATTAGAGCATTGGTTCAACAATATGACACAATATCCTTCTTCATCCTCCCTTTCTAATATTCTTGTGAGTTCTTCATCCTCAACCCTTTTACCAACTGGAATAACTAAACCCACAAATAATAATGTACAGTCGTCGTCGAAACCCGTTACTACCGGACTGCCTCCACTACTAACGATGTTCCTTCCTACTCCTCCGCCGTTTACTGGTGTTTCCCGTCCACAGTTCGGTATGTCCAACAATTGTCTATGCCTTCATTACCTGCTCCAGCTCCGACATTCATCCCACATTTTTCCCGAACGTGTCTTACTCCCTCACGGTGAAACTCACGGATTCAAACTATTTATTGTARAAAAATCAACTTCTAAATGTGGTTTATGCTTATGGACTTGTGGGATTTATTAATGGCATTATTCTTGCTCCACCAAAGTTTCTTGATAATATTCACCATTAGGTAAACCCCGATTTTCTCACTTGGCAACARTGTAATAGAACAGTGATGTCGTGGCTGTATTCCTCCCTTACAGAGGAGAAAATGGGTGAGATAATTTCGTTTTCTACTGCCTTTGATATTTGAGAGTCATTAYGAAAAGCATATGAATCTACTTCTACAACTAGGGTGCTCAGTCTTAAGTCACAAATTCAGCAAGTTAAGAAGGATGGTCTGTCTGTCTCACAATACTTAGCAAAGATTAAATAAATTGATGATAAGTTGTCATCCATTGGTGAACCTATATCCTCAAAGATCATATTTCATATATCCGAGAAGGTCTTGGGATTGAATATAATGTTTTTGTTACTTCTATACAAAATCGTTGTGATATGCCGACTCTTGAGGATGTGCGTACTTTGTTACTTGCTTATGATTACAGATTTGAGAAACAAAATTTTGTGGACCAATTAAGTGCAGTTCAAGCGAATGTGGCTAATTTCCAGTTGAATTGACAATCTGGTCATACCCGTAATCAACGATTTCCCTCCCAACATAATCCATGGCCTTTTAATTTCAAAACTAAACCTGGCGTACTTGGAAAACCAAACCAAAAGCCACAACCTCCATGGTCTCCAAGTCCACCGTCTCCAAGAAATCCTAAAGTCCAATGTCAGATTTGCTTTAAATTTGGTCATACAGCTTCCAAATGTTACCACGGGGCCAACCTTCAAATATAAGCTCAACCTCTTTCCCACCAACCAACCCAATCCTCATGCCTTATTTCATCATTTTAATTCTTCTAGCTCTCAGCTCCAACAATCCAATCTTACAGCCATTGTGCCTCTTACATCCAACTCTTTTTCCCTCCTCAATCCCACTGTTATACCCGATAAAGCATGGTATATGGATTCTGGTGCCACTCACCACATTTCTCATGACATTAATTCTCTCTCTAATCTCATGTCTTACACTGGGGGTGAGCAAGTTACTGTAGGTGATGGTAAGAATATTCCTATTTCTTATATTGGTCATGCACTTCTAAGCTTCCTATTAACCTCTCTTAAGTCTTATATACTCATCATATTTCTCATAAATTGATTAGCATTTACAAATTATGTTATGATAATAAAGCCTACGTTGAATTTCATCCAAATTTTTTTGTTGTGAAGGATCTCAATTCTCGGACTATCCTTCTACGAGGAATCCTTGATGGTCGACTTTACAAATTTCAACCCAACTCTTATTCACATACGGTCTCTCTTTCAACTTTGCCATCCATGCCGCCCTAATTTCCTCCATAACTACTTCCCTTTGGCATTTTCGTTTAGGACATCCGACAAATACAATCGTTAAACAAGTTTTGTCCTCATGTAACATTTATTCTTCTAAAATAAATGAGTCTAACGTTTGTATTTCTTGTCAAAAAGTAAAGAGCCATAGGCTCCCTTTCTCTTTAAGCAATACAAAAACTACAACACCTTTTGAACTTGTTCATTATGATCTTTGGGGTCCTTCCCCGATTAATGCTATAAATGGTGCTCATTATTTTCCTTTGTTTATTGATGATTTTACTCGATTTACTTGGCTTTACCTACTTAAAACAAAAAGATCAAGTTCTTCCTTTATTTTTTTGCAATTCAATACCATGATTCAAAATCAATTTCATTATGCTGTCAAAGGTATGCAAACTGATTGGAGTGGAGACTTTCGATCTCTTTCACCATTTTTAGCTCAACATGGAATCCTTCATAGGGTGTCTTGTCCATATACTCTCCAACAAAATGGCAAAGTTGAAAGGAAAAATTGTCATGTTGTGGAGGTTGGTTTATCTATTTTAGCTCATGCATCTMTTCCTCTTTAATTTTGGCTTTTTGCATTCCAAACTGCAGTTTATTTAATTAATCGTATTCCTACCCCAATTTTGTCAGATCAAACGCCTTATACATGTGTTTGGGTGCTCGTTCTTTCCTTTTCTCCGTCCTTATAATAAACACAAACTTTAATTTYGGTCAACTGAATGCAYTTTCCTTGGCTTTAGTTCTAATCATAAGGGTTATTTATGTTTGGATTATGCTACTGGTCGTTTATATGTTTCTCGTCACGTTGTATTTAATGAAAATGATTTTCCTTTCTCCAATAAAATTTCTCCAATTTCTAATCTTAAATCACATAGTCCAGATACCTTTCTGTCTCCCCATGCTTAAATTCTTCTCACTTTGGCTTCACTCACTCATCCCCGATGCAAGGACAACCCYCACATGGCCTTGCTAACTTTTCACATGGTCTTGTACCTTCAACAATTAATGCTACCACACTCATCTTATCTCCCATTCCTTTCTCTTCCCAAAAGGTTGACCCTCTCTCTTCTGCCTTATCTCCTTCTCCCTCGCCTTCAAACTCCCCACCGTCGCAACCCATAACATTTGCCCCTTTTTTTCTCCAGCTACTTCTTCTATATCTTCCACTTGCCCATCATCCTCACCATTTCCATCATTCCATGCGTTACCCATTCCAATTCATAAACAAATCTCAATCATCCTCAACTGACATCCTATGATAACTCATTCGAGAGATGGCATCTTCAAACCCAAAGCATGGTCGACTACTTTACATCCTCTACCCGATCCATCTCTCTTTGAACCCACCTCTTATAAGAAAGCTTTGGACTGTCCGGAGTGAAAATCTGCCATGGAATCTGAGATCAAGGCTTTACATAATTAGAATACTTGGAGTCTTGTTCCTCCTCCGATCAGTTGCAAACCAGTGGGATGCAAATGGGTTTTTCGACTTAAACTAACACCATCTGGTGCAATCGAGTGTCATAAGGCACATTTGGTGGCAAAAGGGTTCAATCAGACTTTGGGATTGATTATTTTGACACTTTTAGTCCAGTTATGAAGCCCGCCACAGTTCGAATCGTGCTCTCTTTTGCTGTGAATTTTYGATGGTCCACTCGTCACTTAAACGTTCACAACACTTTCTTAAATGGCAATTTACTTGAAGAGGTATATATGGACCAACCTCCGGGGTTCATCAACAAGGAAAATCCTCGGTATGTTTGTCGTTTAAATAAGGCTTTATATAGTCTCAAACAAAGTCCTCAAGCATGGTTCTTAAAACTTAGTTCATGTTTACTCGAATGAGGATTTTCAACTTCCACTGCCATTTTGCTTGTTCTTGTGTATGTTGACGATATAATTGTCACTGGAAATCAAGATGCTTTATTGTCATCTCTCGTAGAAAGTTTAAATAGGGAATTTTCTTTGAAATATTTGGGTCCTCTGTCTTATTTTTTTGTGTATTAAAGTGACTACTACTGACTCTGGTCATCATTTGTCACAACACCAATATATTATGGATCTCCTTAATTTTGTGGATATGGTTGATTGTAAACCTCTGCTGACGACTGTGGCTTCGGGTGTGTCTCTGTCTTTGTCTGATGGTGTGCAATTGACTAATCCCACAGAGTATCGGAGTATCGTAGGAGCACTGCAATRTTGTACAATCACTAGACCAAATTTGTCGTTTGTTGTTAACAAGGTTTGTCAGTTCCTTCATACCCCAACTACTACCCATTGGACTGCTGTCAAAAGGATTTTGAGGTATCTCAATGGTACATTGAGTCATGGTCTATCTATCGTGTCCTCCTCCTTGACTCTAACTTGTTATACAGATACGRATTAGGTGAGTTGTTCGAATGATCGGTGCAGTAAAAGTGGCTATTGTACATATTTGGGTCATAATTTAATCTCGTGGTCCTCCTCCAAATAAAAAATAGCGTCTCGTTCTAGTGTTGAATTGAAATATAAAGGTCTTGCTAATGCAACTGTTGAAATTTTTTGGGTAGCATATGTTCTTAAGGAGCTTGATTTTCTTCTTAGTCATATACCACTRCTCTTATGTGATAACATTAGTGCTACTTACTTAGCTGTGAATCTCGTTATGCATCAACGAACTAAACGTGTAGAAATCGATCACCATTTTGCTCGTGAGCGTGTGCTGAATCGTCAGCTTATTGTTAAGCACGTGACTTCTGGAGATCAAGTTGCTAATATCATGACCAAAGGCCTACCTATTGGTCGATTCCAAGGACTTCGTACCAAAGGCCTTAAACCGTGAAGTTTTGTAATTAATTTGTATTTATTTTCTTCTGTTATACCTTTTGTTTCTCCTGTAATGGTTGGACACGTGTCCTTATGAGCATGTTGTCTTGTCATTAAATACTGTTCATTTCCCCATTTTCATATTAGAGTTTTTCACTAATATAGAATGCTTCTTTTTTAGACCATTCCTCCTTCTCTCTCTAGTCTCTTTATGCCATTTGTTTTTTTTCGGAATATAGATGTCYGACATTTTCAGATACTCGAAATCTCAGATGCCCGAAATTTTAGATGTCCTGAATTTAAGAAACACGTTTGTTTTGTAGGAAGATTTATAGAGATATCTGAGAATATTTGGATAGCCAAGTTTGTTTTGTAGGAATTATTCGTGAGAATGTTGTAAATTTATGTAATGTTCCAAAAAAATTTATTACGAATATTGATATAATTTATACATTAATTTAATATAATTTGTATTTATATTGGATTTGTTTTTATTAATTTAGTATATTTTTTATATGTTATCTTGTACGACAAATTAATTCATATTAATATAAGATTTTTTCGAAAAATTATTAAATATAAATTTTATTTTCAAATATAATATTTAAAAAAACAATTATATAATTGATGTTATCATGAAATAAAGTTTTTTCTAATTTAATATACAAATGACATAGTAAAATTCAGAAAATGAAAATAAATTGAAATGTAAAGACTAAAATGCAGAAAATTAAAATTAAAATGCACAATATTAAAATGCAGATAATAAAGAAAATAGATAATTTAAATGCAAAAGAAAAAGGAATGTAGAAAATTGAAATGTAGAAAGCTATAATGCATGAAATTTGTCAAATCATTTTGAAAATATAAAATAATGTTGTTTTCGAAATTTTGTTGGGATTCTATTTATACTGTGTTTTAAATAAATCATTCAAATAACTTTTTCAAWTTTTTAAAACAAAAAATCTTTTTAAATTCCCGATAAAAAATGCAAAGGAAAAAACGAAAAGTATAACAAAATGTGAAAAACAATGATGAAAACAAAGAAGATATTGATCTTTCAATTGGAAGGTTTGTCTTGACATAAGTTCATGAAATAATATATTATAATTTAATAGAAAACACAATTGAAAAAATGTGAAAAGACTGAAACATAAAGCAAAATGAAGAAAATAGTGTAAAAATAAATACCTAATATTGAAGAAGGATGCAGAGAAGATTGAAGAAAGATTGAGAGTAGATTCTGARAGCTTCTTTTCTTGAAAATTAAGTAACAGAGAAAATGAAATTGTTGCAAGAAAAGAAACATATTATTAGCTTAATATAATAGGGTTAGTGGTAAATTTGGTCATTTGATGATGTTTGATAAGAAGGTATCTCAGAAACCCATATTTCAAACGGTAATCAAGATGACTTCAAATTAGGGATTCTGAGGTTGCCATCATCCTTGGATTCCTCGTCATTTTAGGATTACCACAATCCAAACACACAGTAATCCAAATGCCCATGGGATGGGCATCTTAGTTACCACCAAGCAAACGACACCTAAAAGATTTCGGTACATAAATTTTGTTCTAAAAATTTAAAATGAATGTCTTTAAATTATAAAGTAAATAAAAAGTCTGAATTTCAAAATAAAATAATTCTGCTCTACGTGGTGATGTTCAAAATAGTGATGCATATAGATTCATGTAGGGTGTTCAAAAAAACCCGAAACCCGAAGAACCCGAGCAACCTAACCCAAATCCTAAGGGTTGGGTTGGGTTATGTAAGTACTCTCGGTTCAGATTGGGTTACGAATTTTAAGAAACGACTGGTTCAATTCGGTTCGCCGGTTCACAAATTAAAAATCGATTCAATCAAACCGAACCAATTATAAATTAAAAAATATACATATATACATACATACATACATACGTACGTACGTACATATATACATACATACATTTCAAGGTTTCTTTTTATTTTTCCTGCCGCCTCCATTTTCCTTTCTCTGAATCTCGGATTTCTCTTAACAATCTTACCAAATCTCAAGATTTCTCTCAACAATCTCACTAAATCTCAAGATCTCTCTATAATCTGACCATCATGCCCTCAAGGTCTCACTTACTGATCTCTCACATCGCACCATCTCGCTCTCATCTCTCTCAAATCGCACAATTGTTGCACAAAACGTAAGGTTTCTTACATGCATCTCTTCTCTCCTTTCTTTTTTCTTCTTCCAGCCTCCAACCGCCTAACCTCAATCTTACATTCTCCTCCTAAGTTCCTCTAATTTCTAGCCCAATTTTGCATTTTCTCTGGTTGTATTTTTGCCTCAAATCTATCTTAGTCTAAGGGAGCTTTTGCTATTTCGCTTCGTCTATACTCCCTAATCTATTCATGTATCACTAGTGGGTATGCTCTTTGATCTATTTGTGCATTTTGATCTATAACCCGACGATCCAACACAAAAATATAAGGGTTGGGTTAGGCGATTGAATCAGGTCCATCAGGTTGAAGAATCAACCAACCYGAAATTTCGGGTTGGTCCAAAAAATACTCTTTACTTGACCCAACCCAACTCGTGTACACCTTTAGATTCACGTGCTTAAATGATAACTCGATTTTTGAATCTAGAGATGCTGAATTTTTCAAACTTGTGTTTCCTCTAATTAAAAAATGTTGATGCTCATGTTGCWCTTTCAAGGTTTGATCCGTTTAATTAAACTAAATAATGTCGTCACCTTCTGTTTMAAATGCACCTATGAATTATCCTAGAAGGAAAAGAAAGAAAATGGAGAATAGTTTTAGACCAGATTTTATATCTRCTTTCTAATAAAGAATGTTGGTAAAATAAAAGAACAATTTGTTTCTGCGTTTTTTATTGATGATGATCTTAAATCTTATGAAAATGCATTAAGCTCTATTCACTTTCATTAACTAAGTTGTTACCTCAGTTCACTACGCATTAATATAATTGAAAGATAGTAATGCCTAAGTAACAAAATTTATTCCTTCATCCAGTAAATGTGTCCTTAAAACTAGTTAGTTATTCGTGAGAGATTCTTGAAAACGACTATTAGTTTTCAAGAAACCAATTTCTTTTCAATTATTTCAAATGAGTAACTTGTGTGAATGACTACTTCCTTTACAATTTCTAAATTGTGGGAAATGTATACTTGATATTTTAATATCCACATTTTACTTAACTAAAAATAGAATMTGTTTTTCTCTATATAAGATTTTTTATTTTTTACAAAACACGTCGTTCTGCCTCCTTCTATTCTTCTATTTTCCTTTGGATAATTATAATGTTTGTTTCAGCTCCTCCCCATGAATCCACGTTGATGCTCGAGTAGATTGGAGGGGTATATATGGTGAACCAATACTACATTCAAATGAGAGAGACCCTAAGATCATGAAAGCATGATTAAGAAAGCCTTAAAATAATTGTAGTTACTACCTATACTAATAAAGTGCACCTYTATTTTTCGGTGGCTCAATCATAAGAACTTCAAAATTAAGCGTGCTTGACTTAGAGTAATCTTGGGTTGGGTGACCTTCTAGTTGATTTACTAGGAGTAATCTTGGGTTAGGTGACCTCAAAGTTAAGTTGCTTAACATGGGAATGACGGGGCAATTAGGTGCCAAATCTAGATTCTGAATCCTAAGCCTGCAGCGTTACCACCACGTGTCTTAGAATTGTTGTGTTAACCTTTGGGACGAATAGCTGAATCTTGGTTGCACCATGGTGGAGCCGAAGTTTTGTTTTCAAGGTAATGGTTATTCTACGAGACAACTTTATTATTATTATTTATAGTTTTCCAACAACCTATGTAGGTAATGGTTATTCTACGACACAACTTTATTATTATTATTTATAGTTTTCCAACAACCTAGGTAGGTAATGGTTATTCTACGACACAACTATATTATTATTATTTTTAGTTTTCCAACAACCTATGTGTAAAT